TACCACAAGAATATATCAATATTTTGGCAACCGCGAGAGGCTGGTGGTGTGGGAGACTGGAGACCTAATTGGTCAGTGTTAATGGAGACGGCGACGGGGGAGGACGGTGAAAATCCTTCTCCTATAATTCATTTCTGTTTTATATTTTTTCTAGCAAAGAGAAGAAATAACTTTGGTCATTTATTATGTAAATTGATTTTTGGTCACAATTTTAGGAAAAGAATATAAGAACACACATTTGTAATTATTAATGCATTGGAAGTGCATTAATAATTACAGTTATAAATTATGATTTATAACTGTTTAAGTGTTGCACCTACTTAACATTCTCCACCTCCTCCCCCCCTCTCTCTCTCTATCTCTCTCTCTCTCTCTCTCTCTCTCTCTCTCTCTCTCTCTCTCTCTCTCTCTCTCTCTCTCTCTCTCTCTCTCTCTCTCTCTCTCTCTCTCTCTCCTAGGTTTGAGAGGTATACCTGCTCATTCCTTGCAAGTATAACCAAGTGTATACAGTTAGATAAGTACATTTTCTTCCTCTCCTTCTCCATTCTCTCTCCCTCTTTTTCCTCCAATTTCTCTCCCTTTCTTATTTTTTTATTTATATATACAAGAGTTCTTACATTCTTGTACAGCCACTAGCACGCATAGCGTTTCGGGCACGTCCTTAATCCTGATTTTCTCACGCACACGCGCGCACACACACACACACACACACACACACACACACACACGCGTGAAAGAGACCTGGGGGTGGACGTAACACCTAATCTATCTCCTGAGGCACATATTAATAGGATAACGACAGCAGCGTACTCTACACTGGCAAAAGTTAGAACATCATTCAGAAACCTAAGTAAGGAGGCATTTAGGGCGCTTTACACTGCCTACGTAAGGCCAGTCTTAGAGTATGCCGCCTCATCATGGAGTCCCCATCTGAAGAAGCATATAATGAAACTGGAAAAGGTTCAGAGGTTTGCAACGAGACTCGTCCCAGAGCTACGAGGGATGGGGTATGAAGAGCGCCTGAGGGAACTGTGCCTTACGACACTAGAAAGAAGAAGGGAGAGGGGGGACATGATAGGAACGTATAAGATACTCAGAGGAATTGACAGAGTGGACATAGACGAAATGTTCACACGGAATAGTAACAGAACGAGAGGACATGGATGGAAGCTTGAAACTCAGATGAGTCACAGAGATGTTAGGAAGTTTTCTTTTAGCGTGAGAGTAGTGGGGAAATGGAATGCACTTCAGGAACAGGTTGTGGAAGCAAATACTATTCATAATTTTAAAACCAGGTATGATAGGGAAATGGGACAGGAGTCATTGCTGTAAACAACCGATGCTCGAAAGGCGGGATCCAAGAGTCAATGCTCGATCCTGCAAGCACATATAGGTGAGTACATATAGGTGAGTACACACACACACACACACACACACACACACACACACACACACACACACACACACACACACACACACACACACACACACACACACATAACGAATGCCGTGTTGCCCCAGGAGTACACAGTAATAAGGAAAGAGAGGGAAGGTAGGGGAGGAGGCGGAGTGGCCCTACTCATGAGAAAGGAATGGAATTTCAAGGAGATGGCCATCCCGGGCTGTGAGGGTTTCAGAGACTACATAACAGGCACCATGACAATGGGAGGACCAAGAATAGTAGTAGCAGTAATATACAACCCTCCACCAAATGACAGAAGACCCAGTCAAGAGTATGACAACAACAACATGACAGTTAACACTATAATTGAGAGGGCAGCCTCTGCTGCCTGTAGAAATAGATCCCACCTGCTCATCATGGGGACTTCAATCACGGAAGGATTGATTGGGAGAACAAGGAACCGCATGGAGGCGAGGATACGTGGAGAGCCAAACTACTGGAGGTGGTATAGAAACTTCTTAACCCAGCATGTCAGAGAACCCACAAGGATGAGAGGCAATGACGAACCAGCGAGACTCGACCTGGTCTTCACCCTGAACGACTCTGACATAAGAGAAATCAGTTTTGAGGACCCAGTAGGAATGAGCGACCACAGTGTATTGGTGTTTGAGTACCTGATTGAAGAAGGGTTATTGAACTCGAGGAGGGATACCGAAACCAAAAGGTTAGCATACCGAAAGGGAAACTATGAGGAGATAAGAAAATTCCTAACAGATATAGCATGGGAAGCAGAGCTCAGGGAAAAGACGGCCCAAGATATGATGGAATACATCACGCAAAAATGCAAGAACGCAGCAAACAAGTTTGTCCCAGCCCAAAAGGAAAACAGAGAAATGAAGATGAGAAACCCATGGTTTAATCAGAGATGTAGGCTAGCTAAGCAGCAAAGTAAAAGGGCATGGAGAAACTATAGGAATAACAGGACACTGGAGAGCAGAGAAAGATACCAAAATGCCAGGATTGAATATGTCAGGATGAGAAGAGAGGCAGAAAGACAATACGAAAATGACATCGCAAGCAAGGCAAAGACTCAGCCTAAATTGCTGCATAGCCACATCAGGAGAAAAACAACAGTAAAGGAACAGGTTGTGAAATTAAGGGTAGGGGCAGAAGGATTCACTACAAACGACAAGGAAGTGTGTGAGGAACTGAATAAGAAATTCCAAGAGGGTCTTCACCTAAGAGCAAGGAGAAATCCCAGAGATAAGAGAGGGAATAGCTAACCAGGAACCACTGGAAGAGTTTGAGATTACCAGCGGGGAAGTAAGGAAGTGTTTACTAGAGTTGGATGTGACAAAGGCTATAGGCCCAGATGGAATCTCCCCTTGGATACTAAAGGAAGGAGCAGAAGAACTGTGCCTCCCACTCTCCATAGTGTATAACAAATCACTGGCAACAGGGGAACTGCCAGAAATTTGGAAAGCAGCTAACGTAGTCCCGATATACAAGAAAGGGGATAGACAGGAGGCACTGAATTACAGGCCAGTGTCCCTAACCTGCATACCATGCAAGCTGATGTAGAACATTGTGCGAAGAAAGCTAAGTGGAGCACCTGGAGCGAAAGAACTTTGTAACACAGCATCAACATGGATTCAGGGATGGCAGGTCCTGCCTCACAGGGTTACTTGAATTCTACGACCAGGCAACAAAAATAAGGCAAGAAAGAGAAGGGTGGGCAGACTGCATATTTTTGGATTGTCAGAAAGCCTTTGATACAGTGCCACACAAGAGGCTAGTGAAAAAGATGGAGATGCAGGCTGGAGTGAAAGGGAAGGTACTCAGTTGGATACAGGAGTACCTAAGCAACAGGAGACAACAAGTCAGTGTGAGGGATGAGGTCTCAGATCGGCGAGACGTTACGAGTGGAGTCCCGCAGGGGTCAGTCCTTGGACCTATTCTGTTTCTGATATATGTAAATGATCTCCCAGAGGGTATAGAATCGTTTCTCTCAATGTTTGCCGATGATGCAACAATTATGAGGAGGATTGAAACTGAGGACGATAGTAGGAGGCTACAAGATGACCTAGACAGACTGAGTGAATGGTCCAACAAATGGCTGTTGAAGTTCAACCCGAGTAAATGCAAAGTAATGAAACTAGGCAATGGAAATAGGAGGCCAGACACAGGATACAGAATAGGAGATGAAGTACTTAATGAAACGAACAGAGAGAAAGATCTAGGAGTTGATATCACACCAAACCTGTTTCCTGAAGCCTACATAAAAAGAATAACGTCTGCGGCATATGCGAGGCTGGCTAACATCAGAACAGCGTTCAGGAACCTGTGTAAGGAGTCATTCAGAATCTTGTACACCACATATGTAAGACCAATCCTGGAGTATGCGGCCCCAGCATGGAGCCCGTACCTTGTCAAGCACAAGACGAAGCTGGAAAAAGTCCAAAGGTATGCCACTAGACTAGTCCCAGAACTAAGAAGCATGAGTTACGAGGAAAGGCTGCGGGAAATGCACCTTACGACACTGGAAGACAGAAGAGTAAGGGGAGACATGATCACAACCTACAAAATCCTCAGAGGAATCGACCGGGTAAACAAAGATAAACTATTCAACACTGGTGGGACGCGAACAAGGGGACACAGGTGGAAACTGAGTACCCACATGAGCCACAGAGACGTTAGAAGGAACTTTTTCAGTGTCAGAGTAGTTAACGGATGGAATGCATGAGGCAGTGATGTGGTGGAGGCTGACTCCATACACAGTTTTAAATGTAGATATGATAGAGCCCAGTAGGCTCCGAAATCTGTACACCAGTTGATTGACAGTTGAGAGGCGGGACCAAAGAGCCAAAGCCCTGCAAGCACAAATAGGCGAGTACAAATAGGTGAGTATACACACACACACACACACACACACACACACACACACACACACACACACACACACACACACACACACACACACACACACACACGAGGCAGAAACACACGAGGCAGAAACAAATGGGCAAAGTTTCTTTCACCCTGAATGCTCCTGTTACCTAGCAGTAATAGGTACCTGGGAGTTAGTCAGCTGTCACGGGCAGCTTCCTGATGTGTGTGTGTGTGATGTGGAAAAAAAGTAGTTAGTAAACAGTTGATTGACAGTTGAGAGGCGGGCCGAAAGAGCATAGCTCAACCCCCGCAAACACAACTAGGTGAATACACACACACACAATCACCAGGAAACAGCCTGGAGCAGCTGTCTAACTCCCAGGTACCTATGTACTGCTTGGTGAACAGGCGGATCAGGGTGAAAGAAACTCTGCCCATTCGTTTCTACGAACCCCGAACGCTATCCACTCGGTCGTTAGGCTCCAATCCTCTCTCTCTCTTCCTCTCGTGGGGGGGGGGGGAGAGGAAAAACCTTTTTCTCTCCCCCCCCCCCACGCTCCCTTCTTCCCTCCTGCTCTCTCTCCCTCCTTCTCCATTCCCTGTTCTTCCATCCCTCCCTCTCCCTCGCCTCCCTCCTACACAACTGGACCTCACAACCCGCTCTTCCATTTACCAGAGTCAAGCCGCTCCCAGCTAGATTATTTTACCTTCAGACCTGAGAATGGCACTTGGGGGGTGGAGGCACGTTGGGGGTGGAGGCACGTTGGGGGTGGAGGCACGTTGGGGGTGGAGGCACGTTGGGGGTGGAGGCACGTTGGGGGTGGAGGCACGTTGGGGGTGGAGGCACGTTGGGGGTGGAGGCACGTTGGGGGTAAAGGCACGTGGGGATGGAGGCACGTGGGGGGTGGAGGCACGTTGGGGGTGGAGGCACGTTGGGGGTGGAGGCACGTTGGGGGTGGAGGCACGTTGGGGGAGGAGGCACGTTGAGGGTGGAGGCACGTTGGGGGTGGAGGCACGTTGGGGGTGGAGGCACGTTGGGGGTGGAGGCACGTTGGGGGTAAAGGCACGTGGGGATGGAGGCACGTGGGGGGTGGAGGCACGTTGGGGGTGGAGGCACGTTGAGGGTGGAGGCACGTTGGGGGTGGAGGCACGTTGGGGGTGGAGGCACGTTGGGGGTGGAGGCACGTTGGGGGTGGAGGCACGTTGGGGGTGGAGGCACGTGGGGGGTGGAGGCACGTTGGGGGTGGAGGCACGTGGGGGGTGGAGGCACGTTGGGGGTGGAGGCACGTTGGGGGTGGAGGCACGTTGGGGGTGGAGGCACGTTGGGGGTGGAGGAACGTGGAGGTGGAGGCACGTTGGGGGTGGAGGCACGTTGGGGGTGGAGGCACGTTGGGGGTGGAGGCACGTTGGGGGTGGAGGAACGTGGAGGTGGAGGCACGTTGGGGGTGGAGGCACGTTGGGGGTGGAGGCACGTTGAGGGTGGAGGCACGTTGGGGGTGGAGGAACGTGGAGGTGGAGGCACGTTGGGGGTGGAGGCACGTTGGGGGTGGAGGCACGTTGGGGGTGGAGGCACGTTGGGGGTGGAGGCACGTTGGGGGTGGAGGCACGTTGGGGGTGGAGGCACGTTGGGGATGGAGGCACGTGGGGATGGAGGCACGTGGGGGGTGGAGGCACGTTGGGGGTGGAGGCACGTTGGGGGTGGAGGCACGTTGGGGATGGAGGCACGTGGGGATGGAGGCACGTGGGGGGTGGAGGCACGTTGGGGGTGGAGGCACTTGGGGGGTGGAGGCACGTTGGGGGTGGAGGCACGTTGAGGGTGGAGGCACGTTGGGGGTGGAGGCACGTGGGGATGGAGGCACGTGGGGGGTGGAGGCACGTTGGGGGTGGAGGCACGTTGAGGGTGGAGGCACGTTGGGGGTGGAGGCACGTGGGGATGGAGGCACGTGGGGGGTGGAGGCACGTTGGGGGTGGAGGCACGTTGAGGGTGGAGGCACGTTGGGGGTGGAGGCACGTGGGGATGGAGGCACGTGGGGGGTGGAGGCACGTTGGGGGTGGAGGCACGTTGAGGGTGGAGGCACGTTGGGGGTGGAGGCACGTGGGGATGGAGGCACGTGGGGGGTGGAGGCACGTGGGGATGGAGGCACGTGGGGATGGAGGCACGTGGGGGGTGGAGGCACGTTGGGGTGGAGGCCCTTGGGGGGTGGAGGCACGTTGGGGGTGGAGGCACGTGGGGATGGAGGCACGTGGGGGGTGGAGGCACGTTGGGGGTGGAGGCACTTGGGGGGTGGAGGCACGTTGGGGGTGGAGGCACGTGGGGATGGAGGCACGTGGGGGGTGGAGGCACGTTGGGGGTGGAGGCACGTGGGGGGTGGAGGCACGTGGGGGGTGGAGGCACGTGGAAGTGGAAACACGTTGGGTTTGGAGGCACGTTGGGGGTGGAGGTACGTTGGGGGTGGAGGCACGTTGGGGGTGGAGGCACGTTGGGGGTGGAGGCACGTTGGGGGTGGAGGCACGTGGGGATGGAGGCACGTGGGGGGTGGAGGCACGTTGGGGGTGGAGGCACTTGGGTGGTGGAGGCACGTTGGGGGTGGAGGCACGTGGGGATGGAGGCACGTGGGGGGTGGAGGCACGTTGGGGGAGGAGGCACTTGGGGGGTGGAGGCACGTTGGGGGTGGAGGCACGTGGGGATGGAGGCACGTTGGGGGTGGAGGCACGTGGGGGGTGGAGGTACGTGGGGGGTGGAGGCACGTTGGGGGTGGAGGCACGTGAGGGGTGGAGGCACGGGGGGGGTGGAGGCACGTTGGGGGTGAAGGCACGTGGGGGGTGGAGGCACGTGGGGGGTGGAGGCACGTGGAGGTGGAGGCACGTTGGGGGTGGAGGCACGTGGGGGGTGGAGGTACATGGGGGGTGGAGGCACGTGGGGGTGGAGACACGTGGGGGGATGGAGGCACGTGGGGGTGGAGGCACGTGGGGATGGAGGCACGTGAGGGGTGGAGGCACGTTGGGGGTGGAGGCACGTGGGGGGGTGGAGGCACGTGGAGGTGGAGGCACGTTGGGGGTGGAGGCACGTTGGGGGTGGAGGCACGTGGGGGGTGGAGGCACGTGGAGGTGGAAGCACGTTGGGGTTGGAGGCACGTTGGGGGTGGAGGCACGTGGGGGGTGGAGACACGTGGGGGGGTGGAGGCACGTGGAGGTGGAGGCACGTTGGGGGTGGAAGCCCGTGGGGGGTGGAGGCACGTGGGGGGTGGAGGCACTTTGGGGGTGGAGGCACGTGGGGGGTGGAGGCACGTGGTGGTGGAGGCACGTGGGAGTGGAGGCACGTGGGGGTGGAGGCACGTGGGGAGTGGAGGCACGTGGGGGAATGGAGGCACGTGGTGGGTGGAGGCACGTGGTGGTGGAGGCACGTGGGGGGTGGAGGCACGTGGTGGTGGAGGCACGTGGTGGGTGGAGGCACGTGGGGGGTGGAGGCACGTTGGGGGTGGAGGCACGTGGGGGGTGGAGGCACGTGGTGGTGGAGGCACGTGGTGGTGGAGGCACGTGGGGGTTGAGGCACGTGGGAGTGGAGGCACGTGGGGGTGGAGGCACGTGGGGGGGGGTGGAGGCACGTGGTGGGTGGAGGCACGTGGTGGTGGAGGCACGTGGGGGGTGGAAGCACGTGGTGGTGGAGGCACGTGTTGGTGGAGGCACGTGGGGGGTGGAGGCACGTTGTGGTGGAGGCACGTGGTGGTGAAGGCACGTGGTGGTGAAGGCACGTGGGGGGTGGAGGTACGGGCTGGTACGGGAGGTGGTGGAGGTACGGGCTCCACGTGGTGGGTGGAGGCACGTGGTGGTGGAGGCACGTGGGGGGTGGAGGCACGTGGTGGTGGAGGCACGTGGTGGTGGAGGCACGTGGGGGTGGAGGCACGTGGTGGTGGAGGCACGTGGTGGTGGAGGCACGTGGGGGTGGAGGCACGTGGGGGTGGAGGCACGTGGTGGTGGAGGTACGTGGTGGTGGAGGCACGTGGGGGGTGGAGGCACGTTGTGGTGGAGGCACGTGGTGGTGAAGGCACGTGGTGGTGAAGGCACGTGGGGGGTGGAGGCACGTGGTGGTGGAGGCACGTGGGGGTGGAGGCACGTGGTGGTTGAGGCACGTAGGGGTGGAGGCACGTGGGGGTGGAGGCACGTGGGGGTGGAGGCACATGGGGGTGGAGGCACGTGGTGGTGGAGGCACGTGGGGGGTGGAGACACGTGGTGGTGGAGGCACGTAGGGGTGGAGGCACGTGAGGGGTGGAGGCACGTGGGGGGGGGGTGGAGGCACGTGGTGGGTGGAGGCACGTGGTGGTGGAGGCACGTGGTGGTGGAGGCACGTGGGGGGTGGAGGCACGTGGGGGTGGAGGCACGTGGGGGGTGGAGGCACGTGGTGGTGGAGGCACGTGATGGTGGAGGCACGTGGGGGTTGAGGCACGTGGGGGTGGAGGCACGTGGGGGTGGAGGCACGTGGTGGTGGAGGCACGTGGGGGGTGGAGGCACGTGGGGGGTGGAGGCACGTGCTGGGGTGGAGGCACGTGGGGGTGGAGGCACGTGGGGGTGGAGGCACATGGGGGTGGAGGCACGTTGTGGTGGAGGCACGTGGGGGGTGGACGCACGTGGTGGTGGAGGAACGTAGGGGTGGAGGAACGTGGGGGGTGGAGGCACGTGGGGGGGTGGAGGCACGTGGTGGGTGGAGGCACGTGGTTGTGGAGGCACGTGGTGGTGGAGGCACGTGGGGGGTGGAGGCACGTGGGGGTGGAGGCACGTGGGGGTTGCAGGCACGTTGTGGTGGAGGCACGTGATGGTGGAGGCACGTGGGGGGTGGAGGCACGTGGGGGTGGAGGCACGTGGGGGGTGAAGGCACGTGGTGGTGGAGGCACGTGGTGGTGGAGGCACGTGGGGGGTGGAGGCACGTGGTGGTGAAGGGACGTGGAGGGTGGAGGCACGGGGGGGTGGAGGCACGTGGGGGTGGAGGCACGTGGTGGTGGAGGCACGTGGTGATGGAGGCACGTGGGGGGTGGAGGCACGTGGAGGTGGAGGCACGTGGGGGTGGAGGCACGTGGGGGTGGAGGCACGTGAGGGTGGAGGCACGTGGGGGGTGGACGCACGTGGGGGTGGAGGCACGTGGTGGTGGAGGCACGTGGGGGTGGAGGCACGTGGGGGTGGAGGCACGTGGGAGTGGAGGCACGTGGGGTGGAGGCACGTGGGAGTGGAGGCACGTGGGGGTGGAGGCACGTGGTGGTGGAGGCACGTGGGAGTGGAGGCACGTGGGGGTGGAGGCACGTGGGGGGTGGAGGCACGTGGGAGTGGAGGCACGTGGGGGTGGAGGCACGTGGGGGTGGAGGCACATGGGAGTGGAGGCACGTGGTGGTAGAGGCACGTGGTGGGGAAATCTATTGGTGATTGATATCACCGATAGATTTAATAATTAATTTAATTAATAAATCTATCTAATTAATTTATTTATTAATTTAAGATATTGTATTTAATTGTATTTATTACTTATGAGCGACCGTATTTATAATTTATTTTCACCAGTAAACTACAGGGGCATCAGGGTGAAAAACTCTGCCCATTTTTTCAGCCTCCGCCGGGGATCGAACCTGGGACCTTACGAATCTCGATCGCTGTCCACTCAGCTGTCTGGCTCCCCCTCCCCCCTAAGTTAGGCTACGTTAGGTTAGGTTATGCTAAGATAGCATAATTTAGGCTAGGTTGTATTAAGTTCTGGTTTGTTGGCATTAGTTAGGATAAGTTACGTTAAGTTATGCTAGGTTAAGTTAAGTTAGGTCTTGTTAGGTTAGGTTAAGGTAAGTTAAGTTAGGTTAGGTTAAGGTAAGTTAAGTTAGGTTAGGTTAAGTTAAAGATAGGTTATTTTATGCTAGGTTTTGTACAGGATATTTTCTGCTTGATGAGCTAGTTAGGTTGTTCTGAGCTCGTTTAGATCATCCTCCTGGGTTTCTTAATTGGTAAATCGAGTGTTATTTCAATATTACTAATATTAATTTTTATTATAATAATAATTACAATTAATATTATTATTATTCTCAATGTTCTTATTGTTATTACCGCTGCCTGTAATCAGTTTAATGAGTGCCCAAATGGTTCTACATTACACAAACTCCAAATAACTGTAACTTGAGCCTTCAAGCGCCGGAATAAATGTTTAAATGTTAAAAGCGGAATAAATTATTAAGCATTGCTGGAGGAAGGAAGTTAACAGTCAGAATACATTACGTTAACCTGCAGCCATGTTGCATTATGTTAATTAATTTATGGTGATTACCTGTGGAGGTGTAAGCAATGACCTCCCTAATTAAGAAAATGAGATTACTCCTCTCTGTCCCCCCTCTGTCTCTCTCTCTCTCTCTCTCTCTCTCTCGTCCCCTGTAAACGTTACATTTCGTCTCCTGAACAAAGGCTATTTACTCCCTATTGGAGTCTTGTCATGCTGCTGTTTAAAGGTCTTGGAACACAAACTCACAATGTCATGATCCCAACTCAAGACCTTGTGATATGATTCGTCGTCACTCGTGTGACTCGGGTGTCTGACTCGCATCAGGGAAGGATTATATTTTGTGTGAATGACATTACATAAAATTCAACCATAGTGACACTGGCTCATATCATGGTGTTAGTGGCTGTAGATGTGATGACCAAACCTCACGCCAGAAGATGGGGAAGTGTCCTCCCCATATGGGTATAGGGAGGACAAGGTGAGGGGAGGGAGGGGAGGTCAAGGGTGGGGAGGAAGAGCAGAGGGGGGAGGGAGTAGAAGGGAAGGGGAGGTAGGGGGGTGGGGGTGGCGAGGATGATGGGAGGGGGGAAGGAGGGGAGGTAGGGGGGTGGGGTGGCGAGGATGATGGGAGGGGGGAAGGAGGGGAGGTAGGGGGGTGGGGGTGGCGAGGATGATGGGAGGGGGGAAGGAGGGTAGAACGGATGGTGGGTAGAAGGGCACCCGGGTACAGCCGGGTATCTTGAGATTGTCTTAAGATGATTTCGGGGCTTAGCGTCCCCGCGGCCCGGTCCTCGACCAGGCCTCGTTTTTGTTACACACCCCCGGGAAGCAGCCCGTAGCATCTGTCTAACTCCCAGGTACCTATTTACTGCTAGTGAACAGGTGCATCAGGATGAAAGAAACTTTTTACCCATTTGTTTCCGCCTCCACCGGGGATTGAACCCGGAACCTCAGGACTACGAATCCGAAGCGCTGTCCACTCAGCGGTCAGGCCCCTGTGTGTGTACTCACCTATTTGTGCTCGCGGGGGTTGAGCTTTGGCTCATTGGTCCCGCCTCTCAACTGTCGTACAGATTCCTGAGCCTACTGGGCCCTATCATATCTACATTTGAAACTGTGTATGGAGTCAGCCTCCACCACATCACTGCCTAATGCATTCCGTCTGTTAACTACTCTGACACTGAAAAAGTTCTTTCTAACGTCCCTGTGGCTCATTTGGGTACTCAGTTTCCACCTGTGTCCTCTTGTTCGCGTACTACCCGTGTTAAACAGTTTATCCTTATCTATCCTGTCAATTCCTCTCAGAATTTTGTAGGTAGTGATCATGTCTCCCCTTATTCTTCTTTCTTCCAGTATCGTGAGGTGCATTTCCCGCAGCCTTTCCTCATAACTCATGGCTCTTAGTTCTGGGACTAGCCTAGTGGCATTCCTCTGACCTTTTTCAAGTTTCTCCTTGTGCTTGACAAGGTGCGGGCTCCATGCTGGAGCCGCATACTCCAGAATTGGTCTTACATATGTGGTATATAAGGTTCTGAATGATTCCTTACACAGGTTCCTGAACGCTGTTCTGATGTTAACCAGCCTCGCATATGCCGCAGACGTTTTTCTTTTTATGTGGGTTTCAGGAGACATGTTTGGTGTGATATCAACTCCCA